AGAAGATGGCTATCATTGAGGCTGTCCTCAAACAGGGAACCCAGAGTCTTGGCCCTGAAGGTTGGCCACAGGAAGGGGAGGAAACTGATTTCAACAGAGAACAGACAGGAGCAAGAAAGGGTGAGTTGGCAGTGCTCTGAAGCTTTTCCTTCAAAAAATATTCCTGAGAATTTAGAAACCTCTTCCTACCTATAAAACGGTAACAAAAAATAACTTATGTCTGTAGAAGAGAATATGTGTAGCTGTTTTTATTGCAGAATATTCTGTTGTGATTTTCATTTTTAAATAGAATATTCTGTTGTGATTTTATGTATAAAATACATACATTTTTGAAGTACAGAGAAATATTAAATCCTCAGTTATTTGTTGGGTTTAGTATCTTGCTTTGCTGTTACAAAATACTTAGTGGGACAGGGAAATTACCCTATACACTGTGTAGAAATTAAGCATCCACCAGGAAATGCCTCAAATCTGGGAGAAGCAATACATTCTAGGTGCCCTCTGTTTACTGCCTTCTGGCAGTTTTATGTCTACTCTTTAATTCTAAACACAATCCTAATTCTAAATTCTAATTTCTATGCACTATAATACCATGATATGGATTGCTACTGATGAATTATAGAGTTAATTTTGTTTTCTTACAGTGGAGTTTATGAACATTAACTCTGAGTTCTGTTGCCATGGCAGTGGTTTTAAAATGGGTTCTATTATTGCATTGTTATGATGGCGTATTAGCTAGATGAGGGAAATAAACTAATTTGGTCTTATGAAAGCTACTCCCAGAAATGAACTTGATCCAGGATTTTTCTTTGCAATTCGTTTGAACTGTGCTTCTACAAAGAGATCAGCTTAGTTATCACATCAACAGAAAAGCCAATTATCATTCATAGAGCAACAATACATTACTATAGTGAGATCCCAGATGCTTATATCTTTTGACATTTTATTGAAGCAGAAGAACTATAGCTAGTAGACATAATTAAGAGCCTTCTGCAGAAGGATGGCTCAGGTGAACAGAGCACAAATCTCTGCCAGTTTCAAGGCTCTCTAGGATGCTGCAGTGAGAACCAGATGTAAAATATCAATGAGAACAATAAAGCTGCTTCCAGGAGTTAGAAAAGAACCATTCCAAATAGACAAGATGGACCAAAACTATTAGGACAGCTGGATTCTTCTAAAAGGTTCTGTTTAATAGATTGATTGCCAAATTGCATTGGAATCCCTATAAGAATTCAGTGCCAATAATTTCAGAAGGAGGGTTCTTGCCTATCTCTTACCTACCTCTGTTTATTTGTCAACCCCACCCCACTCCCATAGCCTCTAGGATGGAAGTGGTTCTGGTGAAAAGCAAAACAGCCATAGTAGGTGAACTATGTAGAGATGCTCTGTTTTGCAGTCAACCTTGGGAATGATAAGAATTTGAATTTAATCTCAATCTTGGGAAAGATAAGAGTTTGTAATCCTCATCCTCAATCACCCCCAATCAGCAATTCCATGGCATGGTTGACTAGGTGGAATTAATTTAAGCTTGTACATGACTGGATCTGGTTTGCACTAAATCTAACACTTTGGCTCTCATAAATCTGTGGGTTTTTCTTATATGCTGTTTATGTACAAGTCCATTTATTACTACCTCCCATAAAGTAAGTCTGAAGTAAGGTTTTCTGGGTTTTGAAGCCAGCTGTATTCAGAAAGAATGCTGTGAGAAAAATACATTATTTTTCCTGGACCAACCTTACAGATGAATGTTTTTGTAGCATTCCCAAATCCAATCAAAGCCAATTCCTTAGACTACTATAAATAACAGGTCTGAGTTATTAAATAAGTGAGTGTTAAATCAGTGAAATCAATTAATTAGTTTCCTCTGTACCCAGAAACAGACCTTGTTTGGTCTTTCAGATCAGAATAAAATATTTTGGGTCATCTCATAAAAGCTGCAATAGATTACACCTATTGATAGCATGATTACAAATTACAGTTTGTTCTCTGGGCTATTTAAAAAATATTTTGCTTCTTTCTAATTACTTTCTGGAGAGGGAAAATACTTTAAGGCTATTCAGAGGCAGAATAAATAAGAAGCATTCAAAATAGCAAAGAAAACATTGCCTCAGGTCTTTCTGTTTTTTCCATGTTTCTTCTTCTGTTTTATCATTAGTCCTGCCACATGCATCACCTGACATCTTCTGCTTTTAAAATGTGGTTGAGAATTTGAAGTATAATTTGAGTATTGGGTAGGTCATGTATTGAGCTGCATGCCCAATAAACCATTAAAAGGTAAAAGTTCCACTCAGAATCAAAATCAAATGTGGAACTTTTTCACAATAAATCCGCACAATTTTGAAATTAGATTTAAAAACTGATGTCACTTCAAGACTATTGTCTAAAAGTCACATGACTGAAATGTTGGTTTATGCAAGACATTCTAGAAATAGATTTTCAAACTTGGAAAATAGTAGGTATGCAAGAGGTTCCACTATAAATTAGAATATCTTGTTTTAAGTAGGGATATTGGTTTAGAATCTCAAAATCTGTTTCAAGGGTCCCTCCCCTCTATCACTGAGCTACAGCTGACCAATTTAGTTAAGGCAGGGTCTGATAAAAAATTTATATCAGGCTTCCGGCCAACATCATAAAAAACTCAGTTCCCTTGGTCCACTTTACTTAGCAGCGTTGAGATCCTAATTCAGTGAATTGCTTCTACCTTTTAAAGGGTCATCATTTCCTTCCTGTATACCATGATCAGTTTGCCTCAGATTCTTCACAGGACTGGCTGAAATCAGTTAAAGACATGCTTTGCTATTTTATTTGAGATATTCTAGCATCTCCCAGATAACTTAATGCAAGACCTGACTCTTAAAATGGTTTGCAACCCTTACTTGCGACCATCACTTCTTTAGATGCTGATGAGATACTGACAGAGTTGCAGCTTTTTCTAGTTTGTTGCTTCTAGAAGTTTTGGATCCAACTCAAGTAGCCTTAGGTACCATGGCCAACAACTGGGAATGTTGCAGCTGTACTTGCAAACATCAGGGAGTATTACATAGGGAAGGATGGTTTATAGGCTGGAAATCTAGCATATCTTTATGCAGGGTTTTATTGCCTCACTTTTAGCATTAAGAAACCTCTCAGTATCTATCCTTGCCTGTGCCTTTATGAGGTTTAGTGACAGTCTACATAATTTAGAAAAAGAAACAGAAGATGTCCTTGGAAAGTCTCCCTTCAGCTTTCATAATGGACGTTACTGGGACTAATAAAGATCCATAGCTAATTTTATGTTAAATATTTTATTTTATTTTATTTTGTTAAAAAGTAATGTTATAACAATTGCTGTCAGATATAAAAGATGCCAATAACTATATTATCAAGGTAAACATTGTTATGTTCTCTTCCAGGAATGCACACCATATGGGAAGAATCAGTCTCTCCCTTGGCACATACCACCTACTACAGCACAAGGAAAAGGAATAGAAAGAGTCCACTTCTGACTGGGGCAAAAAAAATGTCTCTGGTGGCATCTGGTCTAAACCAGAGTGAATTGGTAAGCATACTCTGATATGCTTGCAGCTTCTTCACAGCAACAGGTATAAGCTTGTCTGAACTTTAAGATTTTGCAGGAGGCATTCTCTTAAAGATAAACCTGCTTTCATAACCACTTTGTACAAAGCAGAAAGCAATAAAAACAATAAAAGCAGAGATCATACATATCCAAAAAATCCAAGTACTTGAACATATAAAGTTCTCCAAGGACTTGACACCCATCCTAACACAAGGCTTGGGGGAACAACCAGGTTTTCAGGAACTTTTTGAGTATCAGCCATACAAATCTTTGGAGGGATGCTGTTTGAGAGGGCAGGCGCTGCAACAAAGAAGGGATACTTTTTAGGTCTCATAGATGACGTTGTTTAATTGAAGGGATGTGGAATGCTGGCATATTGGAGATAGGCAGTCTCGCATTGATAAGAAAAGTAGTAGCGTCCAAATTTTTAAGAGCAATTCTACAATTGCCTCGTTGTGTGTCAAATGCCTGCTTACGCTTGGAGACTGGCCTCCTAAAGGTTGAATCA